ATCTTAAAATTTAACACAACAGCACTTTCTCAGCAACAGAGAATTACATTTGTTGCATCAGTGCCATTATACATCATTGTGAAGCACTTTGTAACCTTGTTTAGATTATTACTATACAAATGAAGTTCTAATTAAACATCATCTGTGAGCCCACAACTTTCTAGTTAATGGAATTATTGCACATTTTTATTCATATCTTTATGTACAAGCACCTGTCGGTATCTACTGATTCAAGTAGATATTATTTTAAAGTCCCCTTCTGAGAAAACGTTTTTAAACATGTTTTTAAACATCTTAGCATGTCCCCCTTTTATATGGTACAATATACATTTTGAGCAAAATAAGCAGTCAGCTCTGACTGAGAATTCTCTGAAACCAATCCCGTCAACTTGTGGGTGGGGCCCAGTAGCTGGAAAAGGCTCCTCAACTGTTGGTGAGCTGTGAGGAGTTGGGAGACAGGGAGCAGGGCTGTGGTCATATTAGCATATCACTCATGAATAGAGGAAGTAAGGTACTGAGTTACATTCAAGCTATTTTAAAATGAGGAATTCTTCATGACAAACCTTTTAAATATGAACTCTTGAAATAAACTGCTGGAGTGGGACTTTAAGAGCTGATGAGCCAAGGGAATTGTGATTCACGGCTTTATACTGCACCCATTCAGAAAACATTCAATAGTACCTGCAGAGTATTCAATATATTTTTTTTTTCATTCTTCAGAATGGAACCGATTTGTATGAAGAGGAGACACTTTCTCCCGATGTCCGCAACAACTCAGGTCGACGTAAGAGAACTGCTGAGCTCGGTCTGATCACATCTCCACCGACTTTCACAGCCACTGTTTCTGAGCGCACGCTGCCCACTGATATGACTGTTTCCACCGTCCAGCACTCTGGACTTAGCAGCTCTGCTGACATCACAAGCTCTGATGTTCAACCTACAGCTGATCCCATGGTCACTGAGAAGACCAGCACCAATTTCACCACTGCTTCACACTCTGACAGCACTAATGTAAAGTCTTCAGAGTCTTCAGTGGAGTCTGGAACCACTGCTTTTTTTCTTACCTCTGTACTTCCTGTTACGCTTCCACCCTGGCTGACAAAGCAATCACATGTTGGCGATATGACTTCAGACTCCTCCATTTTGGCCGTGACCCCAAACCCGATGCGCTTGTCCACACGTGATGCATCTATTACGGGACACTTTTCAACACGCAGCGCAGCAACTTCTGGTATTACGGGTGCTTCTGGTACTACAGGTGGGAGGCCATGAACTCTGAACACTGCTTCTTTTAAATTCCTTCAGCCCCTGACACACATGGGCTTTTTTTCTTATCTATATACAAGAGTGTCGTCTTTCAGTTTGAGAGCAGGACTTACTGATTTCACTTTCAAATTTTGTAATGTTCTCACTCAGATACATCCTGCTCCTGCTTAGATTTCCTGTGCACCAGCCTCAGCTTTTCTCCCCTCACTCACACTGCTTCAGGTTTCTCCTCTGCTCTGGTATTATTTTCTTCAGGTACAGTGTTGACAAGTGAAATTGTCCCAACCTTGCTCTAGACATTCTATTGATTGGGGAGTTTTGACGGACCTGTTGCACAAAAACATCCGTGGGAGAAATCCGAAAGGAGAAGAGCTGAAGCACAGGAAGTCTGTCCAAGAAACAAAACATCTGAGTTCAAGCGCACAGTTTGAGCACAAGCAGAGAAAATCTAAGCACAACCGGGGCTATTTCAGTGTGAGGTTTTAAGGTTTTAAGTGAGAGCATTCTAAAATCGGAACGTGGAATCAGAAAGTCCTGCTCTCAAACTGAAAGCCCACGTTCTTGAATCAATTTAGGGGAAAAAACATGCATCCAAGGATTTGTATCTGTTCCGGTGATTGTGAAACCTGTGTACACATGTGGTTGTGTGTATCCATCTGTGTCTGCTTGCTTGCCGCAGGTGTTACAGTGAGAGAAGAGGTGATGGACGTTCTGTCTGAGGATTTGTCGTACCTGGTGTTGGATCTGAATCCCTTCACCGAGTACACGTTCAGGGTCACTGCGTCCACCACTGTGGGGGAGGGCCCTGCCACGGACATCTCTGAGAAGACCAGGGAGCAGGGTGGGTGGTCACATATGTCACATAAACTTACAACACTTTCAATCTGCCTATTAATACGTTGCACTGTGTGTGTCTTTTAGTCCCGAGCTCCGTTCTTGAAGTGTCTTATCAAAACATCAGCTCCACCTCCATACAAGTGAGCTGGGTCCCTCCAGTCAACCCTAATGGACGGATCACACACTACACCGTCTACAGCCTCGAACTGCACAGTAAACAGGCACTGACGTGGATCAGTAACACAACCAGCATATTGATAACAGGTGGAGTACTCTTCTGTTTTTCATTAACAACATCCTAACCTGGTTCTCTAGCTCATTTTCTTGTCTCTCTGACTTAATGTCTAGATCTGGACAAGTATACTGGTTATACGCTGCGTGTGGCTGCATCCACAGCTGTGGGAGAGAGCGCTCTTACTGAGGAAGATGACATCTTTGTTTACACCTTAGAGGACGGTATGTGCTAAAGCATAGACTGTATATGAAGATTGACGTTGCAAGCCCGCTTCCTCCCATTATTCAGAAATAAAGCCAATGCATCCCGGATATGAATGCTGATGTCTTGCACTGAAAACGTAGTTTGGAGTCATAGTCTGGGAAATAGCATTTGTTGGGATGGAGCTACGGTAGTGAGTTCCCACCGATACACATGCTCAGACAACAAGTCGGTCACAGCTGTCAATCATATTTCACCTTGTTTTTATAGCATCAAATAAATAATTAAAACCAAACTTACTAGAAAAATGAGCAGTTGAACATACACACGTATTTTAAGAGCTACCTTAAATGATAGGAACCATCACTGAGAAAAAATTAAATTTTTAGTTTGCTCCATGTCCCATTCGCTTACATGGAGGAGGATTCATGACCAATACTGCAGCCTGCTACCAGGGGGCGATCGAGATGTTTTGGCTTCACTTTTGAGAAGCTGTTATGTCGTCCAATATTAATATACATACTGAACACAAACAAACAAAACACATTTATTATTTGTTGGATTTGACTGTATCTCAGTTCACCTCACATTCCATTGAATGAAAGAGCATCCTGGGATTTTCTTCACCCACAGAGCCTGACTCCCCCCCTGTGAACCTCACTGTGGTGGAAACCAGCCCCTCCACCGTCACACTGGCCTGGTCTCCACCTGAGAGAGCCAACGGGCTGATCCAACGTTACGAGGTCCTGTACGAGAACGAGTCCTACTCTGCTCTGATGAACACCTCCTCAAACAGAGTGACTCTGACCAGCGTGAAGCCGTTCTCATACTACAACGTATCTGTGAGGGCGTACACGCGTTACGGCCACGGCAACCAGACGTCAGACACTTTACACCTCCTGTCTGGAGAAGATGGTGTGTTGAGTGATTACACACATGAAATTTGCAGAATTATCAGATATCCCGTTTTTGGTGAACGTGCTTCTCCATGTTCTCTCTCCAGTCCCAGGCAGTCCTCCGTACGGCCTCTCCTATGAGTCAGTCAGCCCGAGTGAGGTGAATGTGACCTGGCAGCCACCTCTGCTTCCTAACGGCCTCATCACCCACTACAGCCTGGAGCTTTGGAATTCCACTCACTACCTGAACCTCACCTCCCCGACCAGCTACATCCACATCACGCACCTGCGGAAGTACGCGCACTACCGCATCATGGTGCAGACACACACACGTGTCGGGCCGGGGAACCACAGCAGTGAGCCGCTCAACGTGACCACACTGGAGGATGGTGAGAGGTGGGGGAAGGGAGGAATGGGGCAGGGTTTGTTTGCACTTCAAGCACGGCGCACGGTTACAGGACTGGCTGACAGGTTCAAAGGGCATCTGATTAAATCTGACTTTTCCTTCTCCGTTACATCCCTCTGCTTCTGCTCACACTAATGTCATTCCATCACAGGTATTTGAGACTGGAGTTTCCCATCAGGACTGAAAAGAGTCACTAAAACTAACCAGTTTCCATTTCAGGGCAATATTCGGTTTCTCTCCGGCACGTTCCTGGAGGCCTCTCTCGACTTTCTGTGCAAATATATCTTCAAATAATTACTCCTCTATTCAGTTTCTGCTTTGATGGGCACACACTTCTTATCTTAACTGGAAAGTCATTCTCCTGCATCTCAGCTCCAGACACACCTCCTCAGTTCCTCCAAGCCAGAAAGCTGTCAGACTACGAGGTGGAATTGTCATGGCAACCACCACTTGAAGCCAATTCAGACATACTCTACTACATTGTCAAAGTTTGGTGAGTTGGTGAATCTACACAACAATCCCAAGAAAGAAAAATGAGTACATGGAAAACAAGCAAATGGATGGTTTTTCTGTCAGGAATGAAACGAGTGAGCAGTGGCAGAATGTGACAGACACGTCAGTGGTTATTAACGTGGACTCGGAGAGTCGCTACAATGCGTCTGTCTCCAGCTGGACCAGACTGGGAGATGGAGGCGTGTTGCTCTACATCAGCTTCACCACCACAGATGCAGGTGCTGGATAAAACCCCAAAAATTGACATTTTATTGTATACATATATAAAACATTTATTTAACTCTGCATGTTTTTCTCACCCAAATCTTTTCTGTGTGGCTTTCAGAGCCGTTTGACTCTCCACAGAATGTGACTGTTACAAATGTGACCGCCTCCTCCATCACCTTGCTGTGGAAACCACCCACTGAACCAAATGGAATCATTGTACACTACACTATTTACTACTCTGATAACAACACAGTGACTGAGCAGGTGAGACATATGTACCGCATGAAGTCTGTACAAAGAAAAACCATTTGTCACTCATCTGTATATGCAGAACCCATTTCGCTCATGTTTAATGTCCATCTAGTGTATGGAAGTAACCCCTCCTTCAATCCATTCATCCATTCATCCATCCATCCATCCATCCATCCATCCATCCATCCATTATCTACACAGTTTATCCTTTGAGGATTACAGAGATTGGTCTGGAGTTAATCCCAGTTTGCAATGGATGAGAAGAGGGATACACCATAAACAGGTCACCAGAGCATCAAAGGGCCAACATATAGAGACAAACAACCATGCTCACATTCACACTTATGGTCATTGTTAAGTCCAATTAACCATACCCTAATCTTCATGTCTTTGGAGTGTGAGAGAATGCCGGAGAAAGCCCACACAGGTCTGATCTGAACCAGGATTTGAACAAAGAACTTTTGTTAATCGCTGCACCACAATGGAAGTAAACCTGAGCCCCTTTTGTTTTCTCTACAGAGGGTTTCCATGTCAGATCTACCTGCCCCTGCCTCACCTGCCTCACCCCTCTCCTTCACTCTGACTGGGCTGATCGGGGGCACTAATTACACCATGTGGATGACCTCCAGCACTGTGCAGGGGGACGGAGGGGTCCAGAGCGAGACACTAACACTGCTCTTACCAGAGGACGGTCAGTCAGACACACACAGGCACACACAGACACACACAAAAGCAACCGTACACCAAAATAAATTAGTTCAAATGAGCAGACATACACATAAAATGCAGCTAAATAAATAATTCAGTCAGAGTATCACTGTGAGGTTAAGTCTGCACACTTTTTCCACAACACTTAAACTTCAAAAATCACATAAAAACTCTGAGATTGAAGACGTAACTTTCAGCCTGCCAGTTAAAGGAGATAACTGTCAGTCTAGCAAACTGGCTCTATTTTTGTCCGCCTGTGACACTGTGCATCGGAAACAGCCAGTTTGTATTTCCTTTTACTGTGCATGACGAAGGACGTGAGGGACGAGAACCAAAGAGAGAGACAGAAAGTGCAGAAGCGTTTACGACTTGATGACAGAGAAACAGAAAGCCTTTGCTGCAATTGCACTGTTGCCACGGAAATTAAAATTAGCATATGCAGATATGCATAACATCTAGTCATACTTTGATTATCAGAGTAAAAAAGTCTTTGTCTTTATGTGATTTTGGGAAAAATGGTGCAGACGGCTGCCTCAGACTTTGTCGCATACAGTCCCATATTTTTCCATGTTGTGACATGTTTGATTCTCTGTCTCTAAATAATCGCTGCTCATATTGACTCTGTATCTCTGCCTGTGCTCCAGCTGCTCCGCTCTCAGCCAAGCACCGGACCTCCAGGGCAACCTGGTCTCTCTCCCTGCCCAGCCTAGCCCAGCAGGGGGGAGGCTCAAACCCCTACACACACACACCTGGCCCCTTACCTCCACTCATTCATCTCCCATACCTCCCAAGTTTTATCTCCCCTTTCCCCTTCATCTCCACCCACTTTTTTTCCCTCCTCACTCTGTCTACCATGAGCTGTTTTCCGGAGAGGCTGATACGATGAACACGATGAGTATTTTCTGCTCAATCCCTTTCAATCCCAAGGTTTCCATGGCGTGAGTTTTCCTAAGTGCCTCTGTTTGCCTTTGGATGAGCTGTTTATGTCATTGATTGTTGTTTCTGTCTTTTCACTGAGCTGTTGTTGTTGCTTTGCTGTGTTCAGTGTTGCTACTGTTCAACTTGATGTGCTGTTGTTTTTCTGATCATGACAATGCAGCCAATGATTGTGACGTTGCTCGTGAGACATATTAATGACGACGACGATGATGATGATGACCGCTGCGCTGTACATTTTTTCTCCCCTGTCAGCGTGTGTACAATTGATTGATGGCCTAATTTATTAGCTCACAGTGTTGTTGACTCACATTGAAAGACTCATTCTTTTCAGCCAGTTTCACCAGTGACAATAAAAAAATAGTAATGCAACTCAACTCGTCTCCTTTTTTCAGTGCCGAGTGACTCTGTTCGAAACCTGACGGCTCAGATCTTCAGCTCCACGGCCATAATCGTCAGCTGGGACCCGCCCATGGAGCCAAATGGCCGTCCTTACTACCTGCTCACCTTACAGGAAGCTGGCATCCCCCCAGATGTTCCCAACCACGGGGCTCCAGCTGTCAACAAGACCATCAAGCACACCACGACTGACAATGTCTTCCTCTTCACTAGACTCAGGAAGTATTTCCCTTATGTGCTAACAGTTACCCCAGCAACTGGTGCTGGCTCTGCCTACAACCACACCTGCACAATGTACCTGAGGACGGATGACGACAGTGAGTCTATATACACATTGATTTATGGGTTATGGGTTGTATATTTATTGTGACTCTGACGTGTATTTCTCTTCAGTCCCTAGTTCTGCTCCGTTGCTGGTCTCCAGAAGGAACCTGTCGTCGTCCGCCATCGCCGTGGTCTGGCAGCGCCCTCTGGAGGCCAACGGGGAGATATCTGAGTATACCCTCACTCTGGTCGGCCCAGCGGGCTCCAACACAACACATACCACCAACACCTCGTTCATCCTCGCTAACCTACTTCCATACACGGCCTACAACCTCACCATCACAGCAGCGACACGTAAAGGTTCGGGGCCTCATCTGCTGCTGCAGCTGCACACTGATGAAGGAGGTTAGTTTGGACGCAGGTTTAGAATTTCATGTGACAGCATCTATGGAAGTTTATCAGTGTACTTGCATCTTCTGTCTTTTTGAGTCTTACTTTGTGCTTCAGGCCCCATGTCTCCTCCTCGTAACCTGACTATATACAACCACACGGCCATCTCTGTGTGGCTGAGCTGGGAGCCTCCTGTGGAACCCAATGGTGTGGTGACACAGTATGGCTTCAGGATCCGAGACCTCATCACACACACCGTCACACACCAGGTATCGCTAATATGAATTTCACACACCTTAAGCCACTCCACAGTAACAGCAACATACAAACTCACACACATACACACACTCCAGAGAGACATCATCCAACCGATGCTACAGCTCTAATTTCACACTCCAGATACCACTCAGCAGTAACGTTACACTTACACGTGCACATATGTTTGCTGATAAAATAACACATTATCCACTTCAGCAATCAGGATTGGATGATTTAATCTCCTATGTGTCATTTCTTTGTGTACAAATGTAGAATTCCTCTGGTCCATCGACGACAGAGTATCTTTCTGGCTTCAGGCCTCATAGCTCCTATGAGATCAGTGTGTACAGCTACACCAGAGTGGGCCATGGGAATCAGTTCAGCAGCCCCGTGACCTTCACCACTAACGAGTCAGGTAAAGTACACACCAGGGGCGTAATGCCTATGTAAGACACTACAAGTTTGGTGATTAGAATTAAGATTAAGATTTATATGCTCAGGATCTGCCTCCTTCATCAGTACTAGTCATATAAGTCACTGCATATGAAAAATATCATATTGAAGGAGGTCAGTTTGAGGCACATGTGCATATACGTGATTGTTTGTGAAGGATCTCAAATCAATATTTAGGATAATGGCAGTCTCAAGCATAGTTTTTGCCCAAAATCATAGAGCTCACAGTTAACAAGGGATGACTTTAATGTGCACTTTGCTGAATCAAGAATTGTGCATGGAAGTTTGACACATAATTTTTCACTTTGTGTAAAATGTTGCCCCTTTATGGCCACTGATTAAGAAAAATCCTAGTTCCGCCCCTGCTCAAAAACAAGAAAAAAGCAATAAAATGTGGAAAATGATACTTAAAATAATTAAACTAATCTCTGCAGACAGTTCAGGAAAATAACGCTTGCCATAATTTATACAAAGCATAAAAAATAAAAATTTGATTGCTTGATTATTTTTTTTCTTATAGATTTAGCTTTTTGCATTACTGTTTCATTCCTCTGTGTCTCTCCCTCTGTGTCTCTCCCTCCCTCTCTAGTATCTGATGCTGTGGGGAACCTCTCTTGCTCGGGAGGGAGCTGGGATTCAATTCTGCTGTCCTGGGAAGTTCCGGTCAACCCTAATGGGCAGATCGTTTTTTATGAGATTACAGTGGAGGTTGATGTGCAGTCGTACACACACCAGGCTCACTCACCAGAGTACACAGTGAGCGGGCTGTCACCAGATCAGACGTACACACTCACCGTGGCAGCAGTCAACTCCGCAGGACCCGGTGATGCGGTAAACTGTAATGCCTCCACTCTCTCTGAATCAGGTAGTTAATCTTGTTAATTCATAATTTCTACATGGATGAAAAGATGATTATCTATTCAAAGCATCTCATTTTGAATTCAGTGAATGTCTGATTTAATACAGAATGAACACTTGATTAATTCCTCTCTGTCTTTTCCAACAGTCCCAGCTGCCCCTCGCTCCCTCACCATCTCTCAGGTCACACCGACCAATGTGACACTTCACTGGGCTCCGCCGCTCTCCATACCCGGCCTGCTGAAAGAGTACCACATCATTGCTCAGCTGCTTTCAACTGTTTGTGAAACAAACATCGTACCCACGGCACAGCCGCCCTCGGAGGACGAGCTGACCTCAGACTGTGTGGACTCTCATGTCCTGGTGTCAGTAAATAGCAGCGAGGAGAACCCCAACAGCATAACACTGCAGTCCCTCAATAAATACAGGTACTACCGCTTCAAAGTGGCCGCTGTGACCAACGCTGGAGTTGGAGAGTACACTCGCTGGAGTTATGCACGCACCCTCGCTGGAAGTAAGAACATCACAGTGATTGTGTGACCTCTCTGTGTTGCCAGCACTGAGTTGGCAGTTAGTCAGAAGCTCGGCCTCTGGCAGCTCCTCCACAAGATCTAAACAACATAGTGGAGTAGCATCACTCTCATACTGACTTTGTGTCAGGAGGAATTTTCTTTCTTCAAGTGTTATAGTTTAAAGAAGAAGGACTGTATTTCTTAGCAGGTGCTCTGGTGTTTTAAGATGTCTTTTTTTATCATGTGTAAAATTAGCAGCAAACAATAGCCAGTGGCCAGAGGTATTGTTTTCAAGTGTCCTACTCCGATGTTATTTGTTATTTTGAGAACACCTTGAAGGAATATCTTCAAATTTTGTACAAACGTTAGTTAATTTGCAATCAAAGATGAACTGATTAGATTCCAGTGGTCAAAGGTCACGGTGACCTCATATGAATGGAAATGAATGTAGACCGGCATACAACCATAATTCTAAATGAAGAACCTATATTTCTTAAAGCATCTTTTATCTACAGCGTATGTTAAACTCATATAATTTTGAACCATTTCATTAAGTAGAGTACGATAAGTCTTTGTGTTTTTCTCAGACCCTGATGCCCCTCCCCGTGACCTGAGGGTCACCCCCTCATCCAACAGCCTTCGCATTGCGTGGGACGCTCCAGCTGTTCTCTCTGGGCCGACATCGTATCTTGTTCAGGTCACCTCACTGTACATTCAAACACACACACACACAAATATGAACATTTCACGTGTGAAGCTCAAATTCATGTTCTCTGAACAGATGACAGTGGTGTGATGTTGATCAGAGTTTTTATTGTATAATTAGTGTGAAATCTTGTGCTGTTACATCAGGTGGAAGGTCCTGGTTTGAACATGTCAACAGTCCGGGCTCCAGGAGAGTTGACAACTGTTGTTGTGACGAACTTGACCGCTTTCACTCGCTACTCTGTGACTGTCACTGCCTTCACTGGGCCACTGGCGCTGGCTGCTAGCGAAGGGAAAGCTGCTGGACCCACTGGATTTCAAACGATGGAGGAGGGTAAATTCCTGGATCCACTCCTTAATTCTTATCCGCACCAAAATTGAATAGGTTCTTCTGAGGGCCAGACCCCATCACTCGATCAAGTTTGGTAGCTTTTGCGTAACCCTGCTCACGATCACAACAACAGAAAACTTGGTTCAAATAAAAACCTCTTTGTTGGGGGTGTCCGGTGGTTCTCATTAAACACACTGAGCGGAAAAACACGAGGTGCTCATAATGCAAAAGCAGGAAGCAAAAATCTTATTTGAAAAATCACATAATTATTTTATTGAAATAAAAATAAGCTGTGTAACCTTTGACATTAGCAAAAATTGGATGAACAAAGTGAGCGTGATTTATTACTGCACTTAATCTTCCATGGCCTGGAAAAAAACATTTTGTCATGCCTCCACTGCTAGAGACGGAGCTAGTGGCCTCACAGAGAAGGCTCATGTTTTTCATGAACATGATATCTTATGATCAGTTTGAGAGAATGTCTTCAAATTTGTTTCAAACATTTACTTGATGATGAACATTTTTGGAGCCTGAAGGTCAAAGGTCAAGGTCACAGTGACCACCACTTTGGTCAAAGGTCATACACATGTTTTGCCTTGTGAATGTAATATCTCAGGAACATTTTGAGGGTATTCTTTACAATTTGTCAGATGTGCTCAGACTCAGTGATTAACAGATTTCAGTGATTAACAGATTTCAGTGCTCAAAAGTCATGGTAGCCTCAGAAACATGTTTATGGCTTCTTGAATATAATATATAACACAGACTTGAGGAATTTCATCAAGTTTTCAAAGATGAAGTGATTACATTTCAGTGGTCAAAGGTAAAGGTCACCGTATATGAATCTACACTGGTTGGTGGAGGGATACAACCGCAGTGCGGTAATTCTAGTTATTGAAATGATTATTTGGGTCTGGCAGGGGTTCTCGTTGGCCTGGTGGCTTAGTGTGATAGAGGAAACTCTGAACAAATTTCTTATTTTTGGAACAGTGTCTGCTGTAAGTCTGTCGCCGCATTCTCTTGCCAACCACTCCATCCATCAGCAAGCCTCTCTCTAAGTTCAATCTGTAATTGCCAGCATCCTTTCCACAGCTGATCCACACCTACATGCTGCCACTGTAGGAGATATGATAGAGAGAGACCAACAATGGCCTTACCTTTCCCTCACACTTTACCAAGCTTTACCTACACTCCGTCTGGACACTTCACCGGAGCTGTGCAGCCAACTTCTGGTTGGGCTAGGTTCCTCAGAACGCCTCGTCGGACACAGCCGTCTGCTTCTCTCCCTCTATGCATCACTCTGTTTTCCTGGCCAGCAATCACATCCTGTTGCTGCGCTGCTACTCTGTTAATTACCTACACACAATTGAGTCCGTTTCGTTGATGGCTGTGGCGGAGTCATAACAGAAACTAGACACAACACATTAAGATTCAACACAATACATGCAAAGATTAAATAATCGAAAAATGAAAGTCAACAGTATAATAGCAACAGCGTAATGCACGCAACTCAAAACACTACGATCCACAATATTACTGCACAAAAACAAATGGGGACATTAAAAGTCTCACATATTAATATTCTCCTCTTGTATCATTTCTGCGACAGAACCAAAGGACCCTCCCAAGAACATAATTGTATCAGTCATCCCGGAGGAAGTGAACCGTGTGAAGGTGACCTTCACGCCCCCAGAAGAGCCCAATGGAAACATCACCGCCTACTTTGTGTATGTATATGAAAAGGAGCGGCTGGTCAAGAACATCAGTCTCAGTATCATCCAGAGAGAAGACAACAACACGCTGGCAGCTGTCATCGAGGGCCTGAAGGGAGGACACAACTACAGTATACAGGCGAGGAGGATACACATGTTGCACACATGCACGTTTAGAGACTTCTCCTTGGTCACACACCTGGCGGTGAAACACTTCCATTACTCCAAAACACCTTCAAGTTTTCTCTTGTCCAAACTTTTTTCAGTCTATTTAACATTGCTGTGCCTGTCCTCTTTTCTGCGGTTTTCTTTCTGTTTGTCTCCTTGTAGATTTCAGCAAGGAATGGGGCTGGCAGGAGTCCGCCCAGCCCACATGTCCAGATAACCACAGGAATCAAAGGTACTACTCCCCCCTTTTTTGTCTCCGCTCATGCTGCAGCAGTGCAGCACGAGATGCTAGGCAGGGAATTACCACTGCACAGTGTTATTGTCTTAAAATGACAGTTTTCAGTTGCTCACACAGTAGAATTGAACTCAGCAATATTGTCTAGACTGTGATGATGATGTAAAGGTGTAGTTTTAATGACCATTCAGAGCAGTGGCCAAGTGTTTGTCTTGTTTAATGTGTAAAGGAATAGAAACACCTCTTCATACACATACTGTATTCACACTGCATACGTGTGTCTGTTTGTGTGTGTGTGTGTGTGCTCCTCTGTGATCACACGTGCGTGCGTTCCAGCCCCAGCCAAGCCAACCCAAAGACCCCAGGCAGTGCTGGGCCATGGAGGGGTTGCCATAGTAACCCACAGGAGTATCACCATCCGCATGCCTGCCTGTTTCTATAGTGACAACAATGGACCAATCACAAAAATCCAGGTCGTCGTGGCCGAGTCAGGGGGTATGACTCTTCAAAAACACTTTTATTCAAATACACTCTGGTTTATCGCTCTTGTTTGTGTTTAAGGCCTCAAGTTGAATCTTGTTTTGTGTCCTGAACTCACATATGACAGAATGTAAAGTAAATAGCTGAGGGGCTTGACGTCAGCAGTAATTTGACTCAGTTCCCCTGCGATTCCTCTCCCCCTCTAACTTCCATCCTGTCATAGTGAAGGACGTCCAGAACCTGACCAACTGGAAGAATGCATTTTTTGATCGTCCTGGCCCCTACCTGACTGACAGGGGGTTCCCCAACCCGCCATGTTTTTCGGGGGACGGGGTGTCACGCACGGGCGGACACTTCAGACGCAATCGCAGTGTGCCTGGAGACGGCCGGGCTCCAGTGAGGCACAATCACACTATGGCAGCAACGTACGTGATCGGGGAGAATGATGACTGCATGCAAGAGAACAACACCAATAATTTCTGCAACGGGCCTCTGAAAGCGAACACGGTCTATGTGTGAGTGTCCTACACACACACAGCTGCTGTTTAAACATGTTATATGATATTATAACGCTGACTGTAATTTCACATTTACCAGGTTTAAGTTTAGAGCCACTAACATCAATGGCCAATACACAGACTCTGACTTCTCTGACCATGTCAAAACTGCAGGTATTTATATTCATTCAAATCAACTCTGTATCAAAACATGAAAACATAATATGGAAAGTCCGCTCTGCTGTTTCATGTGATGTTGTCCATTGTGGCTCCTCTCCTTCTCTCCATAGCGGACGGGCTGTTGACCAGAGAAGAGCAAATCATTCTGGGTGTTCTGCTTTCCTTCTTCTTGGCCGTGTTACTCATCATCATCATCTGTGCCTCAGTCAAGTGAGATGCCAACATTCATATACTCTCTGTGTTTACATTTGCACTAGTATCCAGGTTATTAACAGGTTTTTGAAGGTTCTGTGTTTAAGCATTTAAATGTCATATCTCAATGACAGTATCATGGATGAGACTTTGTCCTGGTTTTGAGAAACCAGTTTTAACAAACTGGAGTACTTTGTGAGTACCCAGGATACTGGCATACTAGTGCCTGTATAGATCTTGTACTGGTTTCTCACCAGGGCCGAGAAAGTCACTAAACTCTATCATGACAACCAGAACCCACAAGTCTTGTCTGTGTATCTTCCAGCACGACACAGGGCAAAGATGGGGAGGGACATGTTTAATATTTGCTGTTGTTCTCATCTTCCAATTCTGGCAATAAGGTGGATCAGCTAATAGAGCTAAGCCAAAGTAGTCAAATTTTCACTAGCCACCTTTCAGGAATTAAAATTGCCGGTAGACTGTGATGTTGTAACCATGGTAACAATAAACATCACAGGATATGACTAACCAGATTTCTCAATGCGCCATTTAAACACCATATTCCAAATATGATCAATATTGGGAAAAGACTCATACCAAGTACTTACCATTTAGTATTAACACACAAAAAATAATGTTGTAAGTAATTACTAATTCTACATTCCCTAAAACATCTTCGTTATTAATTTTGACCCTGAGTCTACCGTGTTAATAACAACTTTGTTCGTCATCACTTGTCAGGATCCATCAGCGCAAGAAGGAGGGCGGGACTTATTCACCGCGAGAGGCAGAAATCATAGAGACCAAGTGTAAACTGGATCAGCTGATCGCTGTGGCCGATCTGGAGCTGAAACAAGAGAAACTCAACCGGTGAGTCTGTGTGTTTAGTTTGAATCAAAAAGCATCAGTTTTCCTAATATAACATACACACACACACACACACACACACACACATTGCTGCTGAGGTTGTAGCGCACTACATGACTTCAGGCTTGATTTAGCGGCTCCAGACAAGATTTTAGATCTAAGTCAACAAGACAAAAAAAATCTCTTTCCTGCAGCTAACTTGATGTGCTTTCCTGTCAGCACTAAATCTTCTCGTTGTAGAGTTTCTGCAGAAAATAGAGGCAGCAGCTCTTCGACATAACACGGGATCATTGTGGCTTTATAGTTTACCTTCAGTTCTCTGCAGCCCAGGCTTGTCATCCTGTCTGCATCTCTCTAACCATCCACTCCCACAAATTCACTGTCTAGCTCTTCTTGTTTTTATCCTATTCTCGCACAAACAACCGCACAGACACTTAAGTGCTGAAAGCAGCTTTACCTTCTTGCAGTTTCACATCAGGAAACACATTTAATTTGTGTCTCAGGATCACAGATGAGGTGAGAACGGGAAGGAGCTTTTAATATGATTAGCACCAAGCTATTTATGTTTTTATTTGCCACTATAAATAGCCATCAGCATTGAAACAACCAATAAGCACAAAAAGCTCCCTGAACACCTTCCACTCTCCATCATCTTAAGAATACCGTCACCCAGGCGACGACGACAAATAAAAAAAGAAACCAAAGATATAGGGGTGGGTAGGTGTAAAATGTGGCTGTGTTAAGAGGACTTAATTAAAACATAAAACCCATATGATAAAGGAAAAAGAAAAAAGGTCTTCTTCCTGACAGATCTTATCTTATATGTGTAAAAGTAGCATAACCGTCCTTTAGAAAGTATTTGTCTGCCCTGTTTAACATAAATATACTTAAATATTTAAAGTAAAAGTTTGATTTAAATCCCCAATTATGAAGTCGGTAGTTCGATCCCCAGCTCTTTCAGTCAACTGTCCATAGGCAGAACACTTAATCCCAACTTGCTCCTGCTGTGCCGACAGTGGATGAATAGTGTGTGACAGAAAGCGTTCTATGATTGTGTGTGTGAATGAGTGGATGATTCTCTATATAAATACTATCTATTTGTATTTACCATTCCATTTATCCAGCATTCATCTGACATTTTTCAGATCCTGAATATAATTTGCCATCTACTCACGTGAGGTGTCACAAACATATTTAATATTGCAGGTTTCTGACAGTTACACTCTGTGCTCCTTCAGCAGTCCTGGTAGTTCAAACTGAGGATACTCATCAGGACTGTGTCTCTCTGCTTTCTTGTCACCAGAATCTATTCCTGACATCATGAGTGTGTGACCTATGTAAATGGAAGCTTTTCTAAGCACATTCTTTATGAAAACAACACTTTCCTTGACACTTATCACATGAATGGCACAAATAGCTTCCCTTTGTATGCACACTCATGCACTGACTCGGCTTGGCTTTATTTTTTTCTCACTGAGCACTCTTCTCCCACCAGGTATTCTTCCTTCTTCTTTAGACGGAAAGAGATTTATGTCATCCAGTAAGTTCGGGCTTTTGACCCATGTGTGTCTGTGTGTGCCTCATTTTGCTGTGTATAGTGTGTTGGCATGTTGTACTCCACTTTTCACCCATCACTCAGTGTGTGTCAGCATCATGTTTCCCATCAAAGCTCATCTCAAATCATCCATCTGTGTTTGTTACGTCTTTGGTGGAGGGCGACAGTTCAATGAATCAGTGACGTCAGAGTTGTGCCAACAGCCTGTTCATTTTCCTGCCAAGAGCTGCAGAGCAGAGCTGAGCTTGACACTTCACTGCTTATAACCATTTTTAATTTGTTTACCCTCTCGCCATCTTGAAAATGCTTGGAAGGCTTAAGCAGTGTTAGGGGGTACAAATGTTAAGCTTTATCGATAGCTGAGGGTCTGCGTAGCTGCGAGTCTTGAGTAATGCAAATGAAACGCTTGGCACAGGGGAACAACCACATGCTTCATTCAAGTTTACTGATGTTCACATATTCCTTTAGAACGAAACATCAAAGTTATTGTCAGTGTTAAATCAAAGTGGATTTGATTAAGATGTTTAATCCCCCACTGGTTAAACATACAGTATCATCCACTATCTGCAAAGAGGATCATTTCATCAGCTGTAGACAGAAATACCTCAGTGTGGGCTGCGATTATTGAGATAATTTGTTTATTTTTGGCTGATGTTTTTTGCTGTCTATTTTCATCCAGGCTTCTCAGCTACAGGAAATCACTCAAGTAAGTAACCCTGCATAAATAATGTCAATGTGCAAACAGAAGCTGCAGAACAGATCTGCATGTTCTCTACTACTCACAATTACATAAAACAAGATACTGTGGTATAGTTTTTGTATCAGGTCTCTCTCTGTTTCGCACATTCTCTGTATTTTTCTTCTATCCTCTGTCAGGCCCGTCAACAAAAAGTCTTTCCTGCAGCATGTAGAGGATCTGTGTGCCAATGACAATGCCAAGTTCCAGGAAGAGTTTGCTGTAAGTGTTTAAAAACAACCTGAGCCTGTGTTGCTTTAACATCTAAGCATGAATTATACATATATATAAAACAAGTTACGTTATGTATATTTTAAAAAGCTACAAACAGAGCAGGATTTCTCCCGGTATAGCCGATGGTCATATTTTTGTGTGAGAGAGAGATAGAGCACTGTACACAGCTCTTCAATGAAGCAGCAGCTTAAAAAAGACATGTTATCATTATGAAACTTTGGCGGGACAAATATATTATATATATAGTAGCCTATACAGTAGTGATGCGTATGCAGGGTATGCATCACCCTTCTGATGCTTTTCCTGTTTTTCCTGTTATCTTTCACCTCAATCCAAAATGTTTCTTCTCGCAGTTTTACAAATAGGGGCCCTGACCTTCAACCTGTGTCTTTAAGTGAATACTGATATATGAACTTATCATGTCTCTGCAGGAGCTCCCAAAGCTGCTGCAGGACCTGGCCACCACAGATGCTGATCTGCCCTGGAACAAATCCAAAAACCGCTTCCCTAACATCAAACCGTGTAAGTGGTCAAGCTGAAAATTTGCCTGGGAGCTAATTTTGTAAATACATGATATTAGTCTACCTCTTGTATTTTAGCTCCAAAATTCAATTGGTGCAGATTTCACCTCCACTTGCACAATCACACATTTCAACCAAACACTTTTTTACTGTACCGTGTGTAGACAATAACAACCGAGTGAAGCTGCTGTCAGAGCCGGGCACTGCAGGCTCGGACTACATCAACGCCAGCTTCGTCTCAGTGAGTACCAGCCGTCAAAATCTATCAGGTTATATATCATATACACATTTGTTGCAAATAGAGGAATTATCTTTATTGTCCTGTGTTTTCAGGGATACCTGTGTCCCAATGAGTTCATCGCTACTCAGGGTCCTCTGCCTGGCACAGTGGCAGACTTTTGGAGGATGATCTGGGAAACGGGGACTCGCACCATCGCCATGCTCACGCAGTGTTATGAAAAAGGCAGAGTGCGTCATGAAAGATTTGACACTGTTATGAAACCATTAGTGTTAGCATTCAAAGTACAAGCTGGGCTCTGATTCATTACTACTAGGAGGGTCTGCTACTGAGATCTGACGTGTGTGTGTGTGTTTGTGTATGCGTGTGTGTGTGTGTGGCATTTCAGATTCGGTGTCACAAGTACTGGCCTGAGGACAACAAGCCAATGTCAGTGTTTAGTGACATTCTCATTTCAAAAGTGTCAGAGGAAGTCCTGCCTGACTGGACTGTCAGAACCCTGAAAGTAGAAAAGGTAACAGCTAATAAGCTCATCGCACAAACAGACACACACACACACACACACAAAACACACAGTATGTGTTGTGTTGTGCATCGTCTTTTAACAGCATTAAAGAACGACGGCTTCTCATGGGATTTGTTGACTGTAATAATGAAATCGAACAACGAATAACATTTCTTAAAGAGTAAGTGTTTACATTACATATTATTTAATTATTTATCAACAAAAGGCCTTTACACCTTTAACAAACATAAAACCTTTTGGTGAGTAAATATTATCAAAAACATCTACAAATGTTATAATTATTATTAATGTTTATGTATTTGAATGTATATGTAATATTATTACAACATATATACATTTGAATATTCCATTTATTTTGCATGATAATGAAGTAAACTCAGTCGTCCATATGAATTGGAACTTCCTGTCTCATTTCTCTCTGTAACAACTCCTCTGTGCAGCACGGACACTACATTCTGGTTCGCCACTTCAACTACACGTCGTGGCCTGAGCACGGGGTCCCAGAGTCCTGCAGCACGCTCATAAAGTTTGTCAAAGCTGTCCGGGCCCACAGACACGAAAACACCACCATAGCGGTCCACTGCAGGTACTGTGGCTTGGGCGGCTGTGGTTAGAGTCCCACCGGAAGTGTCCTGCGACCCTGAATTTCCCCTGACGACTATTCCGTCAGAATGATGTGTGATAGGAAATTGTAGCATGTAGAAGTGAATGAGTGAATGTGTCATGCTGTCTAAAAGGTTTTGTTAAGCAGAAAAGCTCCATATAAATACATTCCATTTACTCAGTGGTAACATACTAACACTGCATAAATTACAGTACATAAATTATACTTATTCTGTCTGCGGTCACTGTAGTTACCTTCATACTGTGTTTGACCCTCAGAGACGTTATAAACATTTGAGCCTTTCAGGTGCAGTAGAGCATCAGAGTATAATTGTAGCGTATCCCCTCTCTTTCCTCAGTGCTGGTGTGGGGAGAACAGGTGTGTTCATCGCCTTAGACCACCTCATCCAGCACGTCAGAGATCACGACTTTGTGGATATCTACGGTCTGGTGGCCGAGCTGCGCAGCGAGAGGATGTGCATGGTGCAGAATCTGGTGAGACCAGGTCGAATAAGGCTGGACATTTTATTTCTCTGTTTTCATTTCACGACTAGAGAGAAGAAACAAAAGACAAAAAGAAGTTTATTTTGTCTCAATCATCAGAGACTCCAAATGGAACAACAAATGTAGTGGCGGTGTAGTTGTCCTACTTTCTACTCCATGTCCTGCTGTGATCCAGTCTCAGTAAGGAAATATTGAGCGAATTCTCCTTTTGACAAAGTAAATGATCTGGCAGTGGATTAAAGGCGTGTGCGAAGCAGGATTCCCCCTCTTGAAACAGTGGGAACCTGTCCTGAAATTACCCAGCTCACTTGTTTCTTACAGTTTGTCTGCAGGGACCCTCTGTATCATGCCCAAGCTTCTTCTTAGTGTTCTTTTTTATTTCCTAGGTTTTTTTTAATCTGTGTTTTATTATTACTTTGTGTTCTGTGAGTTTCTTGCATCCACGTTTTGGCAGTGGAGTTTGGGCCTGCGAACCAAAAGCAGCCAGTGAGGACACGATTGTTTGAGACAGCAGCGTTCACCGTGCCAGATATTAGCCATTATTCATTTTTAGAGACACCACTGCACAGTGCCTATGCTTTAAATTACATCATGATTTAATCATAATCGATGTAAACTACATGTGTAGAAAGAAAAAGCACAAGCTAATGTTAGACGTTATTCTAAATGTCCATCACATCTTGCCGACATACATCTTAGTTCCAGTTTTCAATCAACAACAATGGATGAAAATTATAACTTGCATTTCAGGTCTGTTCACTTGAGAGATGAGTTAAATAATGACATTAATAAAATCTGTCTTACTCTGATGGCTCCTGTTGCTTGACGTATAGACCTTAAAAAATATTTCATATCCACATCCCTGGGTTACAGCCTGAACTGACACAAAGGAATAAATATTAGCAAGTTATACAAGCCAATGCATTTGCCTCAACTCAGCTTTAGCACTCTATAGTACATTAGGCACAGGTCATATCAGTACATTATTTTCAAGTTGTTAATTTTTGCAGGAAGTCAGCAGGAAGAGAAGGGGTCTACTGAGTGTGTTCAATGTGCCAAAACACACAAAACCCAGAGGAAGGATAAAAAACATTTTGGATCATTTGTGTCTGGAGATCATGTGGCATCTTCACACATAAACATCAATGACAAAAGGTCTCAATTTAGTCCAAAACTGAATGTGCACAATTTTTTTGCTCTTTAGGCACTTTGTAAAAATCAGCTCTGATGGGTTTGTATCAAAATCAAGTGATACAACCTTGATTTAAGTTCTCCGCAATCAGAAAGTCAGGTTTTTTTCTACTGAATTGTAAAAATAGTATTGCTGTTATTATTCAAGGCCATTTTTATTCAAGGCCATTTATATTAGTCAGGAGGCACTAGACAGCTGTTAAAAAAACATGAAGCTGAAGTAATTTTTCAGCCTATCAGCTATTGTCTAATGTGGAACTAGCCTCCGGCCAACAGGCAATATTTTGGGGCTTCTGGTGTAGACAGCAGATATCTGGGCCAAGACATCGTTTATAGCCTGACTAGTTTCTTTTATAACCCATGTTGAACATTTCTCTGCACAAAACACAAACAGAGAAGCTTTAATGCAGGTGCGACCAGATTCAATTTTGGCTATTATTTTGGTTTATCCACGAGCAACCAAAGCCTGCTCAATCTTGATGCAGAAACCAGAAGGCTTCCGGCCACAAAATCTTGTCCCTCGCCTACAGATTTTTCATATTCACATGTAGAAACTGTTACTAGAGATTCATTTTTTAAATTTTGTGTTATATGGTCAGAGTCTGCCTCGGCCATCAGGACACCCTGAAAAGGAATATTATAAGATGTAATACTACACCAAATTAATTCATATGGACGTTTGCTCAGTGTGGAATTAATATAAGATACATCAAATAGTACATTTGTCATTTGCTGTCAGGCCCAGTACATCTTCCTGCACCAGAGTACACTGGAACTTCTTAACAACAAAGGCAACAGCCAATCCATCTGGTTTGTCAGCTACTCTGCTCTGGAGAAGATGGACTCTCTGGAAGCAATGGAAGGTAAACACAACATGAACACACACACAAAGTCTTACCCACTCTCCACAGCACAGAGTTCACCCCAAACATTTGTCCTGGTCTCCAGGTGATGTTGAGCTGGAGTGGGAAGAGACCACCATGTAAAGACAAACCAAGGGACACCTGCACCCGAGTGAGACAGAACCTGTGCACAGACCCTGGACATGGCGGCCTGCACCTCGTAGCGGCAGAGGAAGTAGGGAGGAAGGGGACGTGAACGACACAGTCTGAACTGAACGGCCCGTCAGTCGACTCAAGGTTTTGTTGCTCCTCTTCAACCCATTTCTCAGCTCAGGCCTCCCTTCACTCCACCACTTGTCTACTTGTTTTCAAAGAGAGTGAGCGAGACAAAAGGGAGACGGTGACAAGGAGTTTCAGAAACAACAGCGATAAAGGAGAAACCGCAGAGACAGTGAGCGCTCTATCACGTCTGTAAGCCTTTGCACAAATTGATTTCACTGTGTATTGTAATTACTGTATTATGTTGATATTATCTATGTTTTTTGTAAGATAATTTATTCAAGCCAAAATGGTGTTCTCTTTGTAATTCTGCCTGTGTCGAGGTTTTTGTTCATTCTTTCTCAAGTGTGATTTCCAGAAATAAAGCAACTTGTATTTTTTCTGGCCTTGATATTTTAGGCTGCAACATTTGGGGGCGTTTCTCATGTAGCCTTTGTTGAATAATAATTTCCAATTGTCACCATCTTAGTGGTCTTTTTATGCCTCCATGTTGGCAACAGCCAGCGACCTGAGGCATTAGGTTTTTGGGTTGTCCGTCCGTTTGTCCCATTCTTGTGAACGCGGTATCTCAAGAAGACCTTGAGGGAATTTCTTCAAATTTGGTACAAACATTAACTTGGACTCAAGGATGAACTGATTCGATTTTGGTGGTTGTAGGTCAAGGTCGCTGTGACCTCATAAAACCCATTTTAGCCTTTTGATTGCGAAATCTTAATAATGCCTCGATAGAATGTTAGATTTGGGTGGTCAAATATATGTAGACTGCACGGGTCCGTATTTCCAGTTCTTTAGAAGACAGAGTAAGATTCAATAATAATAAAAAATAATAATAAAGGAATCTCGTAATACACACATTGATGTGTAGACTCACTGCTACACACAATAAGACATTCAACACTTTCAGATTCAATACTGGCCTCATTCTTCAACGAATGAGTTCAGACCTGCCCGGTGTGCAGGGAGGACACAGGAACGCCGCTGTCGAATGATTTCTCATAAGCTCCTTCATTCCACCGTGCTCCTTGCACACCTGGTGCAGATTCATTCATTAGAGATGCGGCAGAGCTACAGACGCCGTGGACACGATACTGATGTCAAGAATGGTTGAGCATCAACAGACGAGTCACTCTGAGACAGAGAGTAAAAACTACTTTATTCTTTCATTCTCTTCAAACAGAAAAAATTAGAAATATTCCTTTAGTAAATGTGTTGATCTTTAAGAAATCTCCATTGTATTTTTTTTTTTTAGAAATATTGTGAGGGTGCAAAGATTAATGACAGTGCTCCACAGTAAGGATGCAGATTGGCAGGTCTCCATGGCAACCACAGAGAAACCGGAGGTTGGGGATAAGTGGGGGTCGGGCAGAAAGGAAGGGGCGGAAGTAGAGCGAGTGAATAAAATGACATTAATCAACCCATCATGCCCTGACAATAATGATACAAACGTATAATCAAACTCCTCCCACTAACTGTTAAAGAAAAGCGAAATAAAAATAAAAACATCATGCTATTTAGAAGAAGTCAGTCAGAAAAAACAAAGTGGGGACGCTGACTTGCGAAATCAAGCAGTTTCTAAAGTGAATCGAAGCTGGATTTGTTGTTGCTTTGGCAGCTATGTGCATGTATGTGCATGTGTGTGAGTGAGCATGTGAGCATGTGAGCATGTGTGCACTTGCACAGCATCTAAACACTGTGCATGTGTGTGTGTTTGTGTGTGTGTGTCCGGTGGTTTACTGTACGTATTCACCAATACAGCATAGCCCTTTAGACACCTTTAACAGGTGACACAGCCATCTCTTAATAATCCTGTAATAATATGACATGGTATTTTAATGACGAATGTAGATCTGTAATAATATCAGTGTGTGTTACCATGGTAACTGGAGTGTGTTCTATAAAAGCTGCCTGTTTTTCATCTCTAGTAGCAGTAGGATGTAGGACACCCTCCTGGTAATAAATGTGAATAATAATCATTTTAACTATAATAATAATAATATTCTTTTTTTCTCTTTTAAACTAGATCTTCTCTGTACAAATACATACGTAGATACACACACTGGGCAAACCAATCACTTTTTTTCAGAATAAATCTATATTATCTATTTACAATATATCCAATATATTCTGTGGTGCAAAAAGGTACAAGAGGTGTGTGGTGCGTTTCAGTTTGATGATGATTCGTGATCTGCTGTACAAACTGGCTCAAGCTTGACAACATGACAGACAACACTTGAAATAATTATTCCATGGACATCTTCAGTTTTCCCCCTGATTAAACATTCAGCAAAGGAATGCATCTCTGCTTATATAACATTTTCAGTGTGCAAGAAAAATAAAGTATGTGTGAGTGATGTTTTTATTATAGGTGACCTTAGTCTACCCTGTGTGGAGCCATTTTTATTCATTTTCAAGCTAAAGCTAGGAGTTTTCTGGGTGTAGATATTGCCTAAATTCAAAGGTAACACTAAATATTCACACTCATTAGGAGGAAATGTACAGGAGGAGAAAGGCATCTGCCTGTTTCAGCCTTGGATGAATTCTGCTCCCACAAATGAGCTCAGTGCGACTCAGAGGTGCAGATATTACACGTTCCATTGCACCACGTTTGTTCCTGAGCTCTGTGACAGCCAAATGCCACAGAATCAGGGTCGTCACACACGCTACTGTGAAGATATCTTTTCACATGAGATCAGAAAAACACACAACGAAAAAGCAGAAACAGTATGATTGTCATAAGGATGTGGTTTTTAGGTTAGTTTAGTGAGTAACAACGTCCTTGCTCACTTAACATGACAGAGTAGAGACATTGGAACCTTTTTCAACCGTGTCCTTACACTCACTGATTCTCTGTTCCCCACAACATGAAGGAAACAAATAAGTGGATGCTCCGTTTTCTTCACATTATACAGATATGCAGGAATAAAAGCATTACAGTGTGGAGAAGCTGTGCCAACACTGTGATTGTGATATCTTTGACTGAAAACCTGCACCCAACAAAGAGGTGTGACCTCAACATCAATATCTTGGAAGAAAACAAGACAATGCAGACGTTTTGTCCTTTAACATTTAAAGCCGATCCATGTCCCTTTGTGGCCGCCAGAGTTTTGTTTTCTGGCGTCGCCCCTCGGCATCACGGTCACAGCTCACAGACACATTGTTTGGAGAGGTGACATTTAAAAAGATGCAAAGTCATATGATCTGGTAAAGAGTGTGAGATGTAGACAGACAACACCATCAGCTACCAGGAGACATGTTGGAGAGAAATGGCATTAAAAGCCACAATGCTGCTCAGTCAAGACAGTGATTGGATTCTTGTTGTTTTCCTTTGTCCCTTAATGCAACTCACACAGTATAATCCCTTTTTTTGCGTTTATCTTACCATTCCAAGTGAGTCGATTCGGGCTCCAGCATGTGTTTGTTTGGATGAAGGTAACTTCTCCCTTCCACGGTTCGGAGAGTAAACCAGGACTCAGACAATGCTGCGGGAGCCGCTTGAGTTGCGCCTGCGGATGAGAGGCATGGTGTGGTGAAGGGGCATGGGCGAGTCAGGGGGACAGAACTGGTGGGGGTGGTTGTAGGGTGGAGGTGGAGGCGGCAGCGGTGGCTGAGGGCCGTCCCCCTCTCTGACGTGCACGGGCGTGGACAGGGCAGACTGGATGAGCTGATGAGTGGCTGGGCCTTGACTCAAGAAGGCCTCCATCCGCCCTCGCCCGCTCTGGTCAACGACGATCACCTTGACAATTTGCTGGCACTGGATGAGCGTTTCTGGGCGGAGCTCCCCGGCCTGGACGGAGCTGAGCAAAGCGGGCGGAGCGGCCAGGGCCAGGGGTGCGGACTCAATGCTGGGCTGGCTCAGTTGATAGGTCTGCAGCCTGTTGTGAATTGACACCTAGTTTAGAAACAGTCAGAGAACGCATGAGGAGTTACCAGCCTGAACGCAGCCTCAACGCAGCCCTCTGGTGTGTTACGCACATGGGCATGCAGGCATGCAGGTAGGTAGTATGCAGAGCGAGCACATGCAAAAATACACACACTCCCCTTTTTTAATTCTCAATCATGATTTAACATGATTTACACTTTCTCTAAATAACATTGTCACACATTTGCACACACAAACACACACCAGCTCAGACAGAGAAAAGGATTGCAGGGTAAGACAAGATGTAGATCAGAGATCATGACGGGAACATTTTTGTTTGTCTGTGTGTGTATGAATATGGTCAATGAGTGGGAGAATAAGATGCTACAAGATAAAGGGAGTGTCGGGAGAGGAGAGAGGTGACACCGAGGGCTTGGTGTCTCCCTAACACAAGAATTTACAAAGCTAAGGGACCGACAGAGAGGCAGGGGAGAAACGGGCAAAGGAATATAAAGAAGAGGAGCTATAGAGGGGGGAAAACAGCTTCTGTCTCTGTGCTTAGTTAAAGGCAGGGCTGGTTTTACAAACACATAGCCACCCACGCACACTCGGCAGTCTGTTAACGCTATCAAGCTTATCTGGCTTTGTAGATGGTATTCTAGGAGCCAGCTGGGTTTATGGTGGCTTGCAAAGGCTTAAACAGTATAAGGCTGGCAAACAGCAGCTGATGAAATAAGGGGTGTTGTGCAGTGAGTAGTGTGGCTGCTGAGCCACTCATGAGCCACAGAGAGAGAGACTATGTGTAGCGTCACTACAGCAGCAGACTCCTCTCAGCGGCCTTTGTATCCCTGGCCTCACAAGAGGGGATGGGCCTCAGGCGGAGCTCCTTTTAACGCAAAAGCATTAAGCAGACTTTCTTTTTTCGGATGAGGCTCAGTCCCTGTCCAACCGCACACAAACGCTTGCATACAAAGAGCACACCCTCAAAGCAGAGAAGCCAGATACTTACCTGAGGGAGACATGAGTATCTTTGGCACTCACCTCTACTGTGTTGTTGTTGCCGGTTTTATCATACATATCCTGTTGGCCTGTGGGGAAATGAGATGCCTCAGTTTGTAAGTCAACAGGCAGATTTCAGCTTCACAAACAGAGAGTCAAAAATGTCACAGGCAGGTTTTCACACTGGGGACTGACAATTGTTTAAAGGAGTAGTTCAGGAAAATGTGGATTTGCTTTGCAGCTCTCTTTTCCAGGGTTGAGATGAGAATATTTTATGTTTTCACTGGAACTATAGTATGAAACTATCACCACCAGCCTCCTAACTTAGCTTAGCAGAGGCAGTTAACAGTTATCCTCATTCTGTCCAAAGGTTCAGCACCTCTTAACTCAGAAATGATATATAACACACCTGTCAAAAGAACTATCCATCACATGAGCCTCTGTAAAACAAGTAGAAGCTTTATATGTACTGCAGAGACATTAGAGTGGAATATAAAAACTCTAAGATTAAAGAATGTTCACAACATGACTTTCAAATATCACACCTTTTCATGATTTGAACCAAACATTTTATTGGTTTTAGGTTCATATCGTAATTCATGAAGTGCACTACTGGATTTTATCATCACCTACGTGGGCTGTGTACTTGACATTGATTGGATTGCAGACTTGCGTGCCTCTAACATCGGGGTGTTGACAATTCTCTATTTGAATGGAGAAAATGAATGAACCGGCTCACTGGTCCATTTCTTTGCCACTATAATATCAATGTTATTATTGAATCCCCAACTTTAGGTGTAGCTGTCAATGCTAGTTTGAATGCACAAAATGAACGTCCACATCTTCAAACATTATGACGGCGAAGGAGAAGACTGAAAGGAATCCTGTGAGCTTGGCAACTCCATTTCTGGAGAGACCAAAGGCTGCTGCTATTTCTATTCCTCTTCTAATGCTGTCTCAACTTCCTGCAACTGGTCCAAAACTCCTAACTATAAAAAAAACCAGTGGTTCAGTTTGCGATCCAAGGCCCCTTTCACACTTTGAAATTACGGACAAAACAACATAGGTGTGAAAGCCCCCATAGGATGAATACTATTAATACATGTATTGTATTCAAAGATGTCCTACCCTGCACAACATTTATTACATTTTTATTTTAGCAATATCTTTATTAAAAAGTGCGACAGTCCTCTATGCTGCCATTGACATTACAAAAGTAGTATCATATCTGCTAAAATGTGCTGTTTCTGTTATGTAATGATTTGAAAGTTTCAGGGTACATGCTCAATCACTTCCTCCCTGAGACGATCAATACCATCACGTCTCTTAGACAGAAATCTAGAGTCCGAAGGTCTGGAGTCAAGGTGTGAAAGCCTCTTAATAGTTCTGCTGATCATAATCCACTCTCTTTGCTATTTTCTTTTTTAATTTTTTCATGCGCCTCTCCTCCATGAAGTCGTCCTATTTTCGACATTCTCCAGGGTAACGCATGCATTGTTATGAGTAATGTATGCTGTGTTATGCATTTTGTGCTGCGCAAGCAAAACCAGTACCTGAGGGAGAGCCGTGTCCTGTGTGTGTGTCCACTTGCCCACCGTTGGTGTGTATGCCGTGTGGCTGGATGCCTTGTTGCCTCTCCAATTCCCCTACAACAGCAGAAAGAGAGATTGTAAATTGCCGAATACAATTCAGTACAAGTTTGTTTGCATTTCCCTGTGCTGAGGTGTGTGTTCGTCTGTCCTTACACTGGATGTGTATCTGCTCCATCTCGTTGACCTCTGTGATAGCCTCTCGGAGCTCCTCCGCAAACTTCCTGAGCTCCTCTCCACTCGGGGAGCAGAAGCTCACCAGCTGCTTCTTCTCTGAGGTGAATGGGCTCAGCATGGTGATGCCATGGGCGTAGTCTGATGAGAGAGAAGCCCCCGCAAAGACAAAGATCTATCATCATGACTTTGATTCTAAAAAAAGGATGCAGGCTTTTTGTAAAACATCTTTGGAAACACTTTCTCATGCAGTTTGCAGGTTTCTACTTTACAAAATGTCCCTGCTAAGAATACTATCGCATTAAGTCTGCAGAAGTTTAAGAAAGTTCATAAAAAAAAAATCAAGATCAGAAGTAGCCTATGAAATTTACACGAACAGAAACAATCAATGATTTTTCATTTCGAGCCGTCACCACATCAAAGTTTGAAGCAGTCCAACAATTGTGTTTACGATCGAACATCTGCAAACTAATGACAGTCCCATCAGTCTCAGCTTTTGTTTGGAATTTATAGATTCCTCAGCTAAATGGCCGACCTGTCAAATGTCATTTGTTCTTCTATAAATTACAGCAATTTAATCACAAACTGTCAGTTATACTTTTTGAATCCAGTCTCTCTAAATCTACATAACGGGGACTTATTCTTATTAAGGCCTCAAAAATTTTTGTTTTAAAAAAACCAAATTTTTTTATTTTCTACTTTCTTTCTTCTGTATTTAAATCATTAGAGAGATTATTTCATATAGTTTGATCTGAGACGTCAGATTTGATTCTGTGACCAAAGAGCAAAAAGTGTTTCATGGTTCACAAAAGCTCCAAATTATTCCTTATATTGATACTTAGTTTTTAAGATTATGTGATGCCCTTTATAGGTTCAATTACAGTAAAATCATATTAAATGTCTCTCTAAAATCTATCAGATACAGCGTGTAAGTGACACCAGTGGGTTAACTTTCTTTGTTCTGGTGACCCCTTGGAAATTCTTTCAAAGCTTGGATCCTGACAACTGTGCCGTTGATGGCTGCGAAAACATTTTTCCAGCAGCATGGTTCGACTGTAGAGAAAAAACCTTCTGCAGAGTAGAGCGGCCTCTTACACTCATTGCTGAAGAGGTGAAACTGCATTCCTAGAAGACCCATAGCTTTGCAGAAGGTGTACGAGGCTGAGCTTTTTTTCTTGGGACACAGTTTGAGGATCTGCAGTCAACACAGGAAAAACATCATATACTGTATCTGATTATGTCTCACAATGTTAATTATGTTTTGTGTATCGTGTATAATTAGAGCCTGGTAGCGAATTAGAGCCTGATTTCAGTGGTGTGACGTTACCAGCAGCAGGTCGTTGAAGAGGAAGACCTCTCTCTGAAGCTGCGACAGTTTTTGCTTGTGAGGCTTGTTGGCATCGGGCACCTCAAAGAGGCGGCAGCAGCACACCAGACGTCTGTGAGGCACAGCGAGGATCTGTGGAGGCGAGGTTAAAGACATGGAGATGACTGAGGACAGACTGCAGTAAAATAATGCAGGACATCAGAGGAGTCTGTACAAACGGGTTAAGACTCCCTGAAATGAGAAATAAAGGGGATATTCCTATTACTCACAGTTTTCAGGCCTAGGATGGACTGCTCCACACGACTCACATACGTGACGTGGTCTTCATTTGAGCGGAGCTCTCGCTGCTGAATCCTCTCATAAATGCCTGCCACCATCTCTCTGGGTATGTCTGCTCCATCATCCACACCTGAGGGAACAAGGGCTCTTAAAATATAGGTGTATGAAGGTAAGAGCCGTGACGGGTGTAGGTGAGTTACTCATGGAGAGATAAGTTGTGTGGCAGCCAGAGAGTGTGACAGACAAACAGGCAAACATCAGGTGATGCTGAAGCTCAAGATGATGAAGTTTACTTTAAATACGTCCAATAATTGATTTGTCTTCTATAATTTTCTTTGAGCTGTCTTTTGAAATATTTTGTTACATATTTACTTTCATTGCTGCCTTGTGAAGCACTTGAATACAATAATGTAATGTGGATTTAGAAAAGATGTAGCAATGTCCTGGAATCTGCAAACATCTGAGGTTTTTCTCATAAATGTGAGTTTTTCCTGAAACACTTTGATCTCAAGATTCAAAAATGTAATGTTAAATTGTCTTTCATCATCTTTCATTTTGTTATTTCTTTTTACCAACAATGTTCCTAATACATCACCTTACTCATCTAACCATATTTCCTACACGCACCTTTAAGTGTGTGTAGTGTTCAGTAATATAAAAAGTTATAATGTCTGAAAATGTTCCACTGCTGCATCTTTGTATTGTTGCTCATTTTTCTGTCGCTTTGGACAAAAGTAGCTGCCAAATGCAATTCCTGCACAGGCAGTGATGCAGAAGAATGGAGGCTTGCAAACATGGATGTAAATAATACATTCTTCAGAACACTCAAAAAATCAGTTTAGCTAATGTTTTATGGAGAGGTAAGTGCATTCACCATTTTGCAGACTTCTATGACACACAAAAAAGGACATAACGTTTGTTTTGTTCCACAAAGGACACTGTGGTCTTAAATGCACATGACACAGTAATAAATATACTGTAAATTTCCAGGAGGAGCAAGAGAGAATCGGCATCTTGCATTTCCATTTCCAACACTTGAAAACGCAGACAGCTCCTTAATCTGGAAATTAAAGAATTTAAACTTTTAAGTCCACATTTGACACATTTTGAAGTTGGTCCATTGAAATTTGTCGTATCAATGTTTTTATTAGTCACAGATGTTGATTGTAAGTTAAATCCTTTTATTGTGCAAATCCCTGGGAAGTTACTGTGCACGACAGCCACAGTGGAAGCTAATGGGGATCCTAACGATAAACTCAATAATCAGTGAATAAGAGTCTGACTGTGTGGGCTCATATGAATTGTGTCTGAGATATTACAGCCAAATTAGTTTTTCATTTGGGTTTTTGCAGCTCTGAATCGGAGAATGTGTTTAATCCCAGTATGCGTGCTGATATTGAATCCCAGCAGTTGTTCCATTATCATTTTCAAGCATCACTTTGGTCTGCCACTGCTGTACGGCCTAAATAGAAACTCACTTGTGCAATATTATACGAAAAAAAGATAACAGATTTAATTTTATGGTGGATTTTTCCATCAGCTGAATGTAAAAATAAAAGTCAAACTGCTGTGCTGCTTTGAGCGCTGGGTGCATGACTTGTACTGTCAGATAGAGACGTCGACATCGAGTGCTCAGCGCCTCGAGGAGCTTGCGTGCAGGTGATGAGATGCTTCTGGAAAACCCACGCTCATATCATTAAATCTAAGTGAGCCTCAATTAAATGAGTTGACGCCATGGTCTCTGGGGCAGAGCTAAGAGTCTGAGTTGATGGTTTTTCTTGACGGTTGAGGAAACCAACCGCTGCCTCTTTGAGTAATTACCTCAGTTCAGGAGGTTGTCACTCAAAGGCTGAAGGTAAGATTAAAATGAGGCTGATAAGATGAGGCTAGTTGCAAAACTTTGACTTCCCTTCCCTCTGCTCCTCTTTTCCTCCTCCTCATTATTCTACCTGTTACATCTCTCCATTGGATTTCCTCACGATCTGCAGTAAAATGTTTGAGCTGTGCCTGTGCGGTTACTGTTTAAGTTCAAGCTCATAAACCACTTGTTATAAATGTTAAAACGTGGCGGCAGGTAATTACACCAGCTCCCTCCACTGCGACAACTCACACAATGACACATACTGCACATGCAGCCTCTCTGTAAACAGTCTAAGGCTACAAATGCATTTTAAATGTTGATCTTTGTCCACAAAGAGATCTGTATCAGTTTGAATGCCTGTCCACACTAACATGCCTGAAAACACATATCACATGACCACTCATGTACACACAGCATGCATGTCTTTTTGTACACAGTTGCTCGAAATACTGCTCGTCTCCTACGCATGTGAGGTGTTGTAGAATTTAACTGCTAGCAAAGACAACAGGGTCAACAACGCTTGTACTTGATTAACCATTTTGTGTTCTCCACAGGCGAGGCTAATGCCGGGTCATGTGATATGAGCCTGACGAATCAGCGACACTGTAACCGAAAAGACTCAATCAGCAAGCGATCGTGAGTGTCTACATTATCATTTCCAAATATCTCGATTTCTGCTCATTGCACCGCCTACCTGCTTTTGCACATGTTATTATCTTACTCCATATGCCTTATCTTTCATTTATCAATTATACAAAATAATTTATCTCAAATATAATACTCCTCTGACTGCCTCTATGTGTACTAATATATGCCATATCTCAAAATAACTGACCTTACTGCTCTTTTATTATCTGTGTTAATATATATACATGTATAATACAAACTTTCACCTCTATCCCTCATCAGCACCTTAATCTACTATTTGCCCTTTCTGGTTAAGATTTAAAATGGACACACTCACCTCTTAGGTTGCGTATGAAGTCATCGAGGCCCATTTTGCGCTGGGGTTTGATGTTGGGGGAGTACATGTCAGTGTTGAGGAGAACCACAGCAAAGGCCAGGATGAAGATGGTGTCTGGGTTGTGAAACTGCTGCACGACATCTGGATTGCACATGCAGTACCTCTGGCTGTAGACGAAAAACAGGACAAGCGTCAATCTTCTCTGGATTCAAGTCATTAAGTCACATTTATAGACACAAGGAATGATGTATTTCCATCCATTATCTTTACCACTTATCCTTTGAGGGGCACGGGGTGGGCTAGGTATTCCCAGAACAGGTTGCCAGCAAATCACAGAGCCAACAAGCATCCATTCATGCTTGAAGCCACACCTATTCTGCAATTAACCTGACCTGTCGGCATGTCTTTGGACTCAGGAAGGAAAACTGAGTACCCAGAGAAAGCTCATGCAGACACGGGGAGAACATAAAGACTCCACGCAGAAAGACACCAGACTAACCAAGATTCAGACCAGGAAAACCTTCTTGCTATGAGGCAACAGTGATAACCTGTAACTCTGTATTTCCTTGTTCAAAATATACCTGTCAGTGTGTGGCAATGTTGCAAAAACTCTCCTGATTTGCTTAATGGCTTCTATTTATAAACACAAAACAACATTCTGTTATGTCACAGATGATGTCAGCCCATCCCGTTGTGGTGGTGGGTGTGTTGCAGAGGACCCGAGGAACTGCAGTTGACTGTGGAGTATTTTGGATGAGGTAAGTGAAAATACAGTCCCTAAGCCAACTGACAGAGAGCTCTGGGACACCACAACAGTCAGTTTGTTATTGTGCCCAATAGCACCCCCCAAAATATGTCCTCTCAGCTTTGAACTGTGTTCAGTTCCAGAAAATCTGCAGTGAGCTGGGACAGAATGTTATGATTTGTGTGAGTGCATTTAGGCCCAAATGCATCGTTGACAGAGATCAGTCCAACTTGTTAAAGTGGCGTATGTGACGTAAACGATGTTTTAAAAGCTGCTTATTCTGAATGTGAGATACGAGCATTCATGCTGAATTTAAAGAGGTTATATTACCATACAAGCTGCACTATTTCATAATCTGACTCACTCATTGTAACTTCTCCTCAGATATGAGGAGCCGTCACTCTTTCATAAATGAGACTGGCAGGACACAGGAGATGTGTGACACGGCAAAATGGTTCTGCCCTGGGTAAGGTAACGATGCCCAGTCTGCTTTGGAACCAGTGATGTTGAATTTGGACTCCTCCGTCGCTGCCCACAGGCTTCACTGACTCCCCCCCCCTTCCACCCGCCTTCTCCCACAGCTCCCTCCCTATCTTTCTTACTGTCACATACACTTACACAGTGGGCCATTTCAGCGATGGGAGGCTTTTATCTCTACAGCCAGGCAGGATGCAGACATGGAGAGGGCTGCCGTGCTCCAAAGGACTATGCACTCGTCAGAGCATATGCAAGCGAGAGGCCACATCTGAGGCCAACGCAAACTAAAAAGCCTTTTTCCCAGAACCCAGGCAATATCTGAGGCCAGAGAACCCATTGGCTATCAATCGACTGCAGGCCAGTTCAGAAGAAATGCCTTTGTTTCAGGAAGAATAGATATACCCCCACAGATGTAATATGTACGCGTGCATACACAGACACACTCAAACACATGGAGGCAGAAACGAGCATCTTGATGTGTCAACTTGATGTAATTCTGCAGCAAATTCATCAAAGGCTGAACACAAGGCGAGAGCGACTGTACGTGTGTGTGTGTGTGTGTGTGTGTGTGTGTGTGTGTGTGTGTGTGTGTGTGTATGCAAATGGACGTGTGCATGGATGTGTGAGCGCATATGTGTGCACATTTATACACTGAGTGAGCAAACAGTTGAGTGAATAAATAAATAATTGGATGTGTGTGTGTTTGTGCTTCATTCACACATTTTTCAAGCATGGATCTCTGTCTTATGTAACAAGTTTATTTGAACACAAGCTCCCGGATCTCTTATCTTCATATCTGCATATGAAAGTTGCATGCCAGCTGGCACAAATACCACTTTGAATAAAAGAAGTACTCACGGCAAGAGTACAACACAGATGACATAACAACTCTTACGTAACAGACATGGCATCGGATGTCTGGCTGTCCCGATAAAGCCCACTCTTCTCTGACTTATATACTAACAGCTACAGAGAGCGCTGCCTCGGATCACTGATGAATTTGTAATCTGCACCCAGGGGGCCCTGCCTGTATGATTGAGTACCATGTGATTAACCGATGATTAGCTGATGATTAGCTGATTGGCCCTCAAATCTCAGGCAGAGGGGAAAAGTGTCATGACTGTTCCCTTTCTCCTTTTCCTTCACCAGTTCTTGCTTAGAGTAAGAACACGCTGGGTATATGTAAAACAAAAGTGACAACTAGAATGGCACTCAGTAGAGCACATCTACGCCAGGGCCCAACAGTCCTATTAAAGGTAATCAAGCTGCACCAAATTGCACACACTCATACATAACAGTCTCCTAAATATGATTTCTTTTTTCATGTAGATCCATGAAGTATTCCCTGGAAGATCTGTGAAAATATCAAACAGCTTCATATCTCGCAATATTGAACCCTAGCCCTAACCCTAAGGGAACAGAAAATCTTGGATCTGCCCAGTGATCGCAAAACCACATCCCTCCACCAAGTTTTGTGATAATCAAGTAGGTCCAGTAGGTTTTGCCTAAATCTGATTACAAACAAATAGACTTAAAAAATGGCCTCTTTGGCAGTGGTGATATAGTGGTTAGTAAGTAAAGTAATGCCCGCATATCCACAGTCTGCTCACCACTCAATCTCCTTTGCTCTGAGTTAATGTCTATTAATCCACAGCTGGAAATAGTCCCCGACAAATCCACTATCCAACGAGAAACTGACTAATGATTTTCTGACTTATGGCTATGGTATATCCTGCTCTTAATGCAGAAATTGATTGTTTGAACTTTTTATATATAACTTGATTTGTGAGGATAAGTACTTAAGTGTTCTTGTCTCTTAAATGTGTGTATATATATATATAAATATATATATATATATTTATTTATTTATTTTTTGGGGGGGGGGGTTTGTGCTAAATCATTCATTGTGTTTTTCCAATTGTGGCTATTGTCCTCTAATGTGAGTCACCTACTCTGTCTTTTACTGTCTTTAGCCTCTAGGGGTCTCTCAAGCAAAATGATTAAAGAAAAGACGTACTTTGGTTACATCATGAAGCAGCGTGGGATCATGGGAGTTGTTGTCTTAGCCACAGAAGTGTTAAAGTTGTATTCATGTAACGCAGCCAACAGCAGTGAGAAATCCTGATCTATTGTGAGTGACCAATACAAACAGTGCAAGGAAAAAACATCTGTCTAGCTGACAGACCAGCAGAGTGTTTTTCCTTCGCCATATGTTGTTTGCCCTGGAAGTTAATGCAGAGATGAATAAAGCTACAGGTCAAGTGGATATGACAGAATTAATGGCGACAAAAAAGAAAAGTACTGTTACCTTGAATAGAACTGGGGATTTGTCACATATTATATCTTTGGATATAAAATGCACTTGCACCCATCTGAGCCTCAATGGGCATGTTGGTCGTAAAATAAGGTGCAATCAGAAGTATTGTTGGTGCAATGCTATCTTGAGACAGTGCACAAACCTGATCTGAAGTCAGTAGTTTATTGTTATTTTAAGTTTGCATGATCAACATAGTAATATGCACCTACACAGGCAGGTGTTAAACGAACATACACTCTACTTGTTACATACACGGATGGTCTGCTCATGCGCTTAGTCACACTGTTTCCTCTGCAGATAAGTGTTCCCTCTTACAACCTGGAAAATCCACCATTATCATAGCAATCCACCAAGGTGCAAGGTCTTTATTCCCCCAACTGTTTAACTAACAAAAGTGGATTTGGACAAATCTTAAATGCACTCGCACCATGAGATTTAGACCCTGTGCTTAGATCATTAAAACAGAGCCCTTAGTCTTTAAGGTTTAAGTCATGGTAGGACCAACTGAATGACAATTAGGTTTGGGCTGAGTGCCACACAGACAAGTTGGAAAGTACTGAAAGACGAGCAGACAAAAGAAAAACATAGAAAGACACCAGCTTTATCCTTATAGAAGAAATGTTGGTCATGAGCTTCAGGGTCCCAAAAAAGAGACAGGAAAGGGTAATCCCATATTCAAATCACATATTGTGGATGCAGAAAGATGGAAAATCAAGCAATGCATTCAAATAGCAAATACACACTCCTCACATTATATTGTACTAGTGATTTTACAAAACGGAAAAAAGGACATCTGGGAGTTCAAATGAGCAATATGGCACAAGTCATGTCCTTCTGGTTACATTGTTGGTTTTCCAGAGGGGAAAGAGCGGCACATCAGCAGAGGCAGATTAAATGTTCACAGCGGGGTAACCAATTACGCTTCAACAGAAAACAATGACCACATTTTTATTGCATTTTTAGTCCTGGGGGTAATCTTTGGATATTACCAGGACATTTCAAGGAGAGTTCCAGCCAAAGGATAAGGTAACAATTGCAGATCATATTTGTCAGGTCACTGTCATCTGTTTTTGCCTCAAAGAAGCCAAAAAAAACAGCATCATAAAACCTGTTTCTGTCCAGGTGGAGGACACAAAAAGCCAGACTGTCTGTTCAAAGGCATAAATGGAGTATGCAAACTACAGAAGGTCTCTCAAGGTCCTCTTGGTATTTAAATGTGTCATCTTCAGTGGGTCTGCACAAACATTTTATTGAGCTGAGCAGAGAAATCAGACTGAGAAAAACCTTGTGATAACCAAACATGCACTTCTACATATTTATGTGTGATTTTGGATGGAAACAGAAGCTGTTCAGCTGTTCAGTGTTCACCACACGCAAACAGCCCCCATGAAAGATTTGTCCACGGACTGTCATCCAGGGGAGGAAGTTTGTGAAATAGAGCATCTATTTTTGTCCTGATGAAATGCACGCTGATTGCCTGCAGCTCAGATCTCTTGTTATGATTGGCTGACAATCAAACACTGCTGAGTTTAGTCAAAGGTTACAAGCAATCAGTGTAATTTGTTAATGAAACTGGGCTTTGGTCTCATCAGAGCCTGTCGCAGTGAGCGAGCAGAACCAGTTAAACACTTTGCCTATGCAGTCGGCCTATTAGTATGCCATTCTGGATGTGTCTGCTGCCCCAAGGCTGCGAGATGAGATCAGAAAAGACTCATTTGCTTCTGTTTTACTGCAAAATCTGTGGGTTGGTTATGTCTCTTTATTTGTCTGTTTTGCATAGGTGGCCACAGGCAAGAGGTCCATTCATTTAAAAAAGTTCAGAGGGCCCTTATACAAGCCTTGCTCATGTGATGGACCGTTGCTGTGTTGAATTGTAATAAAAAACGAGAAGCCAGAGCCCGTTAAGTCAGCGAGGCCTGCATGTGAGCGAGTTGACAGTCTCACCTAAAGGCTTCGATGAGTCTCTCCACTTTCTGCGCTTCTCCCTGAACGCGGACATGAGCCTGGAACTTTCTTAGGGCTTCGTCGAGCTCCATGCCTGAGAAATCCATCTCATCCACAACGCAACTGCATTGAGACAGACAGTGAGAAAGAAAAAAGAGTAATCAGAGAGAAAGGAGAGCAAGATCGTTTTTAGCTGCGGTACGTCACTGTGATGTGAAGGTGAGCTTGCGAGTGTGTGTTGGTGCGTGTTCGACAAAATATGACTACCCAAGTGCTGATGGCAAATCTGACTCTAACAGTCATACTTCCTTTACAGAGCCACTGACCTGGAAGACACACATAAAGACAACATGTTTTCACACACACACACACACACACNCACACACACACACACACACACACACACACACACACACACACACACACACACACACACACACACACACACACACTTTGTGCAAATATTAATGGAGAAGAAAGGGTCTGATGACAGGGGGGGACATAAGAGGGAAGGAAAGAGGGATGAGAGGGTGAAATAATGAAATGCAAAGAGTGAGGGGACAAGAGAGAGGCACTTGAAAGGCTGAGGACAGACTGTGGCAATAAAGGAAGTGCATGCACAAGAAGAAAAGTGTAAGTGTACTGTATGTTCGGGTGCATGTATGTGTGTGCGTGCGTGCAGTGACCTATTTCTAAAGTCTGTGCAACAACCTCAGCAAAAAGCCTCCCTATCCTGGATCTCTGTCGACACTGGTTGGATGCAAAAAGAGTGAGTGACAAAGCATTGAGTGAATGCTTGTTGTCATGAATGTGCTGCATGTCGACTGGGTTGTATGTCTGTGTGTATGTTATTGTGTGCGTATGAGGTGGTTAGGCTCTAACAGCCAGATACTTTAACATTTTTGGATTCTTTAAAGTCAGTCCAACAAATCTCTTGTTGAATCTTTTAGTAACAGCAACAAACAGAACTGGTTTACAGTTCACAGTTTAAATCCAGGGAGACATTTCAGCAGCAAGAGGTTCTCTCTTTGTAACACACAATCAAATCTGCAATTCTAAAAAATGTTAATGAGTCCTGTTTAAAGGTTCTACAATTCTACAATCAATCAATGTTAATAACATGTGAATACATTGATTTTAAGCAGCTTTTGGTGAACTAAAGGGACAAACAACAGTGCAGGAGGAATGCTTCACCACCTGGTCCCTCAAATGTTTTTATGAAACAGCAAATGAAACAGTAGATTTACAAATTAAGGTCAGTTAACTTGTCATGACATGTTTTTCACTCAGTTGTTGCATTTTGGGTTCAGGTGTGTTCCAGAATATTGGGGTGCTTGACTTATATCTGATCTATAAAGAGTAAATAATATATCACCATTAATGAAGCAGTAACAATTTAATAACAGCTACAATGTAGAGTGCTATTAATACAAATAACTCTTGATTTGAGCTAAATAATCATCTTCACGAAAACTTTGCTCCCTACACTAACACACAAAATGGATTGAGTCAAATAATTTTAATATGAAGACTGGATTCATTACAGGTGTGCAATGTAATTTGTGTGTGTGTGTGTGTGTGTGTGTGTGTGTGTGTGTGTGTGTGTGTGTGTGTGTGTGTGTTATTGGCCCTGTATTACAGCACTTAGATTTCAGTTATCAAACTCCAATTTATACTTCTGTGTGATGTATGTGTGACTGCATATTTAAAAAATAAGACTCACTCGAGGACATCTCGGTTGAATTGCAGCTTGCTGTTGCCCAAAAACTCTCCAATCATCTGTCGGCTCAGGCCCTTCCTCTGCAGCAAGAAGTGAGCCACTCCGATGGCCGTGTCCGGGACGAAGCCACGCGTGATAAGGAAGTGGATGCCTCTTTCTGGGTTCCTGCCCGCAGGTCACCAACAGCAGAGAAGCAGATAGTGTTAGAGTTAACAGGGTGCGTGCGATGATTTTTGTGCATTCAAGCAGATGGTGTGAGGTGTGAGGCGCCTGAGTGACAAAGAAAATGAGTAATACTTTATATAAGGGAAAGGGTGCTTTAATGTGTATGCATATGTGTGCGTGTGTCTAAGTGTGTGTGTGTGGGGAAGAGCTGCACAAAGACAAAGGAGAAAAGAAGGAAAAGAAGAGTGCACTCATGCACAAAAGCTGTTAGCTCTGGACTTCTGGATCACATCCACTGTCACTGATGCATATGAGTTAATTTAATTTAATTTGTATTAACTAATAATAAGTGCAGGCCGACCGTGGACTCTATTTATAGTTACTTAGTCTCTCTAAAATTGTTCATGACCTCCCTGACTCCATCTCTTCTTCAATTGCCGTCTCCCTCTTTTTCTGTCTCTATTTTCCTCTCTTCTTCCTGCAACCCCCTCTCCAGCTCTTTTTTTTAATCTAGACATCATGACATCGGAAGATGGCACTGAAAAGGCAGCTCCTCCCAATGACCACACACACTAATGAGCGGCTGATTAAAGCAATTTGCCTGTCTGTTGAAGATTTGTTAGACACAAACAGTAATAAGTGTACTTTGAACCCTGAGCCAGAGGGTGCAGAAAAGTGCCGAGATATTTTAGAATTTGTGTGCGTGTGTGTGTGTGTGTTGCCAGCACACTCACACATTGAAGAGGTTGAGTCCTATACGATAGAGGCGTTTGCGGTGTGTGTCTGTGGACAGGGTTGGCGAACGGCACGAGGCTGGGTCTTGGCAGCGGTCCCTGGGCAGAGAGACGACCAGGGCCTGCAAGGCCTCAGGGCTCGGCCCCCCGGGGATTTGCTGAGGATGAGTGTAGTGGTACTGCTGGTACTGGGTGTAAATCTGTGCAGGCTGCTGGTTCGACTGGTTGGAGGTGGAAGCAGAGTTAGAAGTGGACCCCAGCCTGTCTGAGCCACTCTCCCCCTCCATCCCTCCTCCTCCCGGAGCTGGCACTGTGGAGCCCCTCCTCGAACCCGGATCGACCATTTCCAGCTCCTCACTGGGAGGCGGGGCGGGAAATTCTGGTTCCTCCGCGAACTGGCCATCTCCTCCCCCGGCCATTCCGCCTAAAGATGTTTTTCTACTGCCCATCTCTCCCCCACCTGTGTTGCCCAGTGAGGTTGTGGTTGTGGTGGTGGCAGAGGAGATGGTGTAGGAACTATTGCTGTCAATGTGAACAGTGACATCCCTGAAGGCCATGAGCAACGAGCTGGCACTGCGCGGAAGACAGGCACTCTCAGCCGCTGCGCGAAGTGCCCCTGGGTCCATTAGTAGCCCCTTCCCCTCTCCACCCTCTGATAGGCTCCAACCACGAAGGGCCTCATCGATTGACTGGGCCAAAGAGTGCAGCTGCAAAAGATACAATGAGAAAAACACTTGAAAACATTGATACAATCAGGCAAAGGAGCAGGAATATGGAGTGGAAAAGTTACTGATTCCAGCTGGTGGCTAGTGGCACAGGGATGGTGGCTGGCTACTAAGCAGACCATGGCCTATTTGGCAAAATTAAAATTTTGACCTGATGATCGCAACACATCAAAAGGTCACAAAGCTATTACAATTCATAAGGAGGGCAGCATGAATATGTCAGGGCAAAGGTTGTTGAGATACTTGAGTCTGGAACAAAGTGCCAAGCTGCTACAATAATGACAAATTGTATAAGTTAATGAAACTTCCTGCACCACTCTACGTCCCTATTTAGAGTAAAGCTTGTGGGAGACATAAGACAAAATGAGACTCACTTGTTCACTGAAGCAGTCCTCCAGCTGTGTGAGTGAGGGTCCAGGCGTTGGCGGTGGAGCTGTGGTCGGGGCAGGAGAGGGAGCGGCTGCTGGAGCCGATGCAGGAGACGGGGGCAGAGAGGTGGACCGACATGGCGGAGGAGGGGGAGTTTTGGAGCGCAGAGGTATCTGTCCTCCTCCTGGGTGCAGACTGTAACTGTGTCTCTGGGTTGCGTTCCGGGTGCGGCCTGAAGGGCTGGGAAGGCGCATGGAGATCCGGCGGGGCAACTTACTCTCCGACAGCGAGTTGCGAATCTTCTGGAAGTTTTTGCTGAGCTGATACTGACGGAAGGCTGTCTGGATGCGGCGGGCCGCCCGCCTTGCTATGAGGTGGCCTCCGTACTTCTGCTCCAACTCTTCTATCTGAAGAAAGGGAAGCGAGTGAGGAGGAGTAAGTTTAGGTATCAAAATATGTTTACAAGGCTGTGTAACTTGGAGAAGACACTGGAAGAGTGAGCACACAACAGCACAGACAAAAATAGGTATTCATCCAACAGGCAAACTTTATGTTACCATTTTGCACTCATGTCAACAAAAGATAAAACAAATCTATCATCATTCAACTGCTAATAGTGGCTTAGAGACAATGGGAAGGAGGATGGATATGCTGTGATAAAGGTGCTGTTGGGAAACTGAATAGGAAATTAAACACCCGCACAACCCTATTTCTGTTTTGTTTGTTGGCAGCAGCAGCTCAGCCCCAAAAAATCTCAGCATCCGAAATTTTCAGCAAGAGGGAAAAACGAGGGAGGGCGGGGGAAGAGTGGGAGGCGAGGGAAGATGAGACAGAGAGGGAGAAAAAGAGGACAGCCGCACATGTGCCGGGGTGTGTATGTGTCTGTGTGTGTGTGTGTGTGTG